CTCCTACCGAGCTAATAAAATCTTCAAGCATTCGACACTAATTGATAAACATTAATTTGTTTCAACATGAGTGAAACACTTGCCTTGGAAGCAACGAATATGTTTATCTGCAAAGCAATTATTTGACGAGGCTGAGTTGGACCGCTTGCTAACTTGGTTACATACCTTTTATCACAAACTGAAGCGTGCCCGCTGTGTTTCCATTGCCATGAAGATGTCCTACTACATAGCTGACCATCCCTTGAAAGTTGAAAGCGCACCACATTTCTAGAGTACAAATACAGACAGATTAAAAAATATCTTAAGTAAATACTCTTCTTGTCCCTAACAAAAAATACGGTCCTCACTTTAGTCTCTTGTAAAAATAAATTAGTCAGTTAGTCCCTAACAAATTCAAAATGGACCATTTTAGTTGAAATCATGGTCCCTCGCAAATTCAAAAAAGATCCATATTAGTCCCTCAAAAGAACTAAAATGGGTTCACTTTGAATTTGTTAGGGACTAACTGACTAATTTATTTTTGTAAGGGACTAAAGTGGAGACCGTGTTTTTTGTTAGGGACCCAAAAGAGTATTTACTCAAAAATCTTTAAAGTTTTTCATTTTTATTTTGAAATATTTAAATTAGTTCATCGTTTCATAACTAGTCTGATTTGTGGCGGATTTTAAAATTAATGCTTTAAACTCTTCAAAAATAATACTTTGGTTCATTTGTTATTGTTAGATTGTAGTCTCAGGAAAGCTGCTTCAAAAAAAATCTGCATCCATACTTTTCCCCCTTTCTGTTTAAGTGTTTGTTAACGGAGTGATAAACGAATCAGGTGTTTTTGCCTTAGTTCGTGAAGGTCTGAGTTTATATGTTTAAAATTGATTGTTGGAACCAGACTTGAACTTGTATAAAAGTTCGTTTAATAAAAAGGCCTCAGGCTTCAATTCAAAAGTTCGGCTATAGAGCTGACATAGTATATTAATTTTTATTTTTATTTTATATTTTTTATACTACTTGATATAGCCTTCTCTCTCCTCAATTAGGGGTGTTCGCGGTCTGGATTGGATCGGTTTTGAACTATGTAGCACTGATACTGACACGGGACACGTGACACGACACGACACGATATTCCGATACGTTAATTCTAAAAAATGTTAGATTCCGACACGTTAGGACTCGTTTTGATATTAAATAATATTTTTAATTTACGTAGTGTATATTATATTTAATATTCAATAATTTAACAAAAAAATGAAAACGAACTTATAATATTCATCAATTTTGCAAAGAAACATAAGACATCTCAAATATTTATATTAAATTTAATAAAATGGTAATTAATCCAACGAATCTAATAGTTGAAACTAAAAACTCAACGCAACGCAATCTATGAATTTTTTTTTGAATTTCTATAATGTGTGTTGGAGTGTCGGGGAGTGTCGGAGTGTCGGAGAGTATCGGGAAGTATCGGACACGACACGTCAGGGTTTTTGAAGTGTCGGTGCTTCATAGATTTTGAAAGCAAAAATCATCCGATCCAATCACTTCGGTTTGATCATATAATCATCCAGTCGGTTTGGATTTTTTTTCAAATCCGATCCGATCCGATCCAATTTTTTTCGGTTTGGATTGGATCAGTTTTCGGTTTTTTGAAAATCCTAAAATTTATTTCATAATTATTGTGCAAATAACATTTTTTGTACATATTGGCTTTGTAAATTTTTTTTTTTTTCGAAATACAAAAGCATTAGTAAACTATAATATAATTTTTTTTTTGGGCAATGAGATATGAAGCTCTACAAAGATAAAATTTTGTTGATGAGATGTGACTAAATTTTTTCTTGGGTTTAGTTGATGGGTTAATAGGTCTTGGGTTTAGAAATTTTTGGACTATGATTAGGGAAAGACCCAAGTAGATAGAGGGGAATTAATATATTGGATTGGTTTGGATTGGATCGGTTTTCATCAACCCATCCAAAAACCGATCCAATCCAATTAAAATTTGCGGGTTTTTTCGATTTTCGATTTTCGGTTTATTCGGTTATCGGTTATCGGTTTTTCGGTTCGGTCACCGCGGTTTGAATCGGTTGATAAACACCCCTTTCCTCAATCCATTTCACTCTATTTTATTGGTTAAACAAACTTTTTGAATGATTTTGTTCTATATTATGTTGTTTGGATATACATTGAATTTATGAATATTTATGAAATTACTAGTGCTGTTGATTGTACATCCTGTTTGAATAAATTTTTGTTATCTTATTTTGTTTTTAACAGGCTAAATTAGACTTTTATTTTTTGTAAATAAGTCAAGGCACAGGTCTGATAATTATATTTATAACAAGTAACGGACGTGATCAGGCTGACACATTTAAACACAGACTTAACCTTTTAAAATTAAATTTCAACTCAACTCAGCCCGTTAATACCGCTTTTTGTCAATTCAGAACAAGCAATGAAAAACAAATAATCTAATAAGATTAGTCCAGTGGCGTGGGATATATACAGTGTAGTGTGTTACGTTTGATTTTCATTATCATTCAAAAAAAAAAGCAATGAAAAGCAAATATCTTTTTCCGTTCTCTAAAATTTTCATCTTTTTCAATGATAAAGCAAGATTTCACCTTGCGCACAATGCTCAATGCTGGTAATTTAGATAGTACTCTAAAAGATATTTAAAAATAACAATATTATTCAGCTCCATTCAGCGATCCGAAATGCTTGAAAGTGGATTCACTCATTATGTTAAACTAAAATAGTTGCTCACAGCCGAATTATGATACGCATTTGCTTTCAATATTCTGATACCTTCTGTTAAGCAACTCCAACAAATGAATTTCAGCCAAGATTGAGAGATATTTAAGTATTAGTTAATGTAATCTCATATTGTTAATTAATGAAGAAATAAAAGTCTTGTCAGCCAGATTTAAATGTTTTCTGAACTTTATCATTCGTTGGGAACCTACCTCCCTTGAAAGGTTTGAATACAATTAAAGCCGCCTGCAGCCATATTATCAATGCCTAAGTAAATACAAGGTGGAACTGGATTCATGCACAGAATAGTAATGATAACAAAATTAAAATAAATAAATGGAAAAAAAAAAAAAAAAAAAAATATATATATATATATATATATATATATATATATATATATCCAACTGTCAAGTATACTAGCGAAAACAGAGGAGGGAACTTTAATACCAACATTGGATAATGCGCTCGTGTCAGTCACAAAAGTTTCTATTCTCATCTCATTGAAAAGCATGAAACCAACTGTGCTAAGACCTCACAAGTCACACCATTCTTATTATTATATTTCAAATCCCAATGTCTATCTTTTCCCACCACCACTCCCATAGTTCCATACCACTCAAAACTGGTAATTAGTTTTGACCAAATCCCACATACCAAACACAAACTCAAGGACCACCAGACCCAGTGGATATATGTGTTATTTGTGATAGTGCAAAATAGGAGTGGTAAATGAAGCCTCTGCTTTTCACATATTTTTGATTCGGTTCGTGAAGCATAAGTTTATACGTTTAAAATTGATTATTAGAATCAGACTTGGTACTTATATAAAAGTTCAATTATTAAAAAGGTCTTAAGCTCTAATTCAAAAGCTCAGTCTTAGAACTTTCTAGACTAGTCTGGTATATTAATTATTATTTTTTATACTACTCTCTTCTCAACTCATTTTATCCTATTTTATTTGTTAAACATATTTTTTGAATGATTTTGTTTTATATTATGCTGTTCAGATATACATTGAATTTATGAATATTTATAAAATTACTAGTACTGTTGATTGTATATTCTATTTGGATAAATTTTTGTTGTCTTATTTTTTAAAACAGGCTAACAGGTTAAACTAAGTTTTTATTTTTTATAAATAAATCAGACCATAGGTCAATAATTATATTCATAACAAGTAATAGGTTGACACATTTAGACACATGCTTAAGACCAAAGTTTGCCTCAGTACGTTGACACTCCTGGTGCAAAACATCTCTGTTGTTGGTTAATCAAACGCGAGTTTAGGATTAATACTGTGTTCATAAAGCAATTTTATATTTTTATTCCCTCAATCGTATTTAAGGTTTGTGGATAAATATTTTTCAAGATAGAACGAGTTATTTTTATTTCGATAATGACACAATAAAAAAAATCAAGACCGACAGATACAACAAATATTGGTCAATCATACAGAATGAATACAAATAATTTTATTTTACTTTTTTAAACAAAGTTTTGGTATGAGAAAGAGATTAAACAATCTCTCTTTATTATAATTCTCTTCTTCTTATTGATGGTTAAGAATTGTGCCTTTTTGACAATGAAAAGTCATATACCTATTTGACAGTAAAAAAAGATAAGACTAAATATTTTTTTTTGTAACTGACAAAAAGCACAGTCCTTATTTTAGTCCCTTACAAACATAATTTAGTCAGTTAGTCCCTAACAAATTCAAAGTGAACTCATTTAGTTAAAATCGTGGTCGCGTACAAATTCAAAAAAGACCCATATTAGTCCCTCAAAAGGACTAAAATGAGTTCACTTTAAATTTGTTAGGGACTAACTGACTAATTTATTTTTATAAGGGACTAAGGTGGAGACCGTATTTTTTGTTAGGGACCCAAAAAAGTATTTTCTCAAAAATATCTCTTCACATATCGTTTGGAATTCTACTAATAAGAATTCCAACTACGCGTGCTCCCTTGTGAATTCTATTACAACATAACATGGTCCAGACAAACGGAAATTAAAACAGTAATTATTTCTTATGAACTATTAACTAGTCCTTTTCTAAGGAGATTCAACCCAGCGTCGTAGCTAAAAGTAAATTTTTTTTCTTTCTTTCTAGGGTGTAATTTGATTATATTGCACTAGAAATGTTACTCTTAACAGATACAAACAATAGTCCCCCTTTTTACATTTGGATGATCAAAATGTGTAGTACAATACAACATTAGCAACTAAATTAGCACAGCTCAACAAAGCTTGTGATTCATTTGAACTTAAGATTCAACCTAGTACAAAGCACTTAGCGCAGCTACTTAAACAACTTGTTAACCAAGGCCACGTGCAAAACTTAGAACTCACGTGGCTTACGGGTGATGTGAAACCTGGGTGAATTGGACCTCACAGAGAAGACCCCATTCCAGATCTCAGTGAAAGCTCTAACTATAACACCATGATGATAAGGGGAATTCAGCTGAAGAAAACAGTTCAGAAGCTCCCTGAGATCGTCCTTAGAGTATATCTCGTTCTCTAATATCATTTGCAGCATGGACTGCTTGAAATCCAGATAAGGGTCTTCAGAATCTTTCTCCACCGCCACCCCTTCTTTGCCAGCTTTGCCGAAACCTCCTAATGTCTTGGGGGCCTTCGCGTTGTTCTCTGAGTCAGAAAACTGTGAGGAATCAACGTAGCAGGGAGAGAATGTCGTGGCAGTAGTGTTGGAGGTGCTGGCACTGTCGTATTTGTCCTCACCCCACGTGCGTGAACAGGAAGAATGGTTGTAAAGTTTGTTCTTTTGGTAAGTGGGGTTCTTGGGTTTTGGCTTTGGATGGAAAATGCGACACAGTTTTGGCCTTCTGCAGCTGCCGCAGCCTAGTTTCACAGACACGGTGTTCAAAAGAAGCTTCTTTCTGCTGGAGCTAGACATATTGCTATATGTTTAGTTTTCTCTGTTCTGTGACCGCTTGAGAAACGGCAATATGAAAAGAAAGAAAGAAAATGGAAGAAGTTTGCCTCAGTCAAAGGGAAATATTGTAGCTTTGGAAAGAGGCTAGCTTTTTATTTATTGGGATGGCTTGAGATGATGACTAAAGAGGGGTCTTAATTAGTGTTGCATGTGAACCTAAAGAGGTCCCTACATGTACATGATGATGCTTTAACTTGCTCGATGAACTTTATTAACTACAGAACAGAGTGATCTGAACCGCAGATTTTTTTGGATAAAAATATTTTCATCGAGCTATCTAGAAGATTGGCCATCGGATCACATGTGCAATGAGAATCTGAGGCATGGATAGGATATTCAAGTTGGTCGTTTCTCTTGCCGTGATATGAAGATAGGGATTAATTAAAGAAGAAGAAAAAAATGCCTACGTGACTATAAATTAAATATGAGATTTGGAAGATCCAACTTCAAAGACAAGAAGGAATTAATGTGACAGGGAGTAAGAATATACGGATTAAAATTTTATACATTTTTATAATCATACTAAAGACTCATAATATAAGTGGAGCCCAGCCCACAAAATAGTGGAGAAAAAAAAAAATTTAAAATGAGATCCACTTATGCTATGAGTCATTATCATGACAAAAATTTTCTCCTTCTTTTATAAATACGGATTATAATTTCGGTCGCTATCCGATGTTTTGGAGGAGGCTGCTCAAAAAGATTAGATGTATTGCTGCTTTGCTATGTGACTATGAGGATATGATCATGATAATGTTTGAAAACAGAAAATCTAAATTTGGACATAATTAGATATTTTTGTCTTGAGTTTAAACAGAATATGTTGTAATCACTATATCTGAACCGAGAATTGTATTGCTAGAATATTAATTTTTAGTGCAAGTCGAGAGGAATTTCCCTTCCGCCTTTAGATGTATAGGATTTAAACAACTTTGCTCAGAATAAGAATCTAGTAAAATTTTGCTGTTTTTCTTTTTTATATTTTTTCATTTTTGTCTCGCAACTTTTTTGTTTTACTTGGTGTTGGCAATTATAACACTTGCGATAAAGGAAACTCCCTTGGTTGGACAAAATGGATAGAAGACATCTCTATGTGTTGCTAGTGCTGTGCTTTTGCTACGATCTCCATTATCTTCTTTAATATTAATGAAATAACGAATTAATTTTGATTTTGTAAAATGAACGGACCAGGCCAACCCAACAAAACAATAGGTTCAAAGGATTACGCAGGGCCCAAAGAATTGATGGGCCAAACTGTTTGCCCAGGCACAACCACGTGCAAAAAAAGGAGGTGAGCCCAAATTTTAATGGTCCGTTTGGGCTATATTTATTTGGTATATATTTATTTATCAAATAAAAAATAAGAGGATATACTTTTAAGGGGAATGATCCGTTTACAATTTTTTTTTACAAATTACACTAAATATGACCGGTCATATACTCTTGATTAAAGTATGACCGGTCATACTTAGTGCAGTTTGTAAGAGTTTGTAAACAAAAAATTTGTAAATATAACCTTCCCCTACTTTTAATCATTTAGTTTTATATAGATATTCAATATTAATCTAAGTAAAATCAATATTAACTATTCATCCAAAATTAAGTAATTAATTATATATAAATGAGAAATGATCCACTTAAGTTTTACATCCATTCTTAATAATGGATTGATTTTTTTAATGACTTTAATTTATTAATTATGTAAATCTATAAATGCAAGTGAAATTAACAATCAAAATTCGGAGTATAATTAAAATTATATAAAATAATCATATCCATCCGTCCGTCTGTTAATTTAAAGAAAACTTTGCCAATGATTATATTATTCACAAAGACGTGTCCATATACCTAATAATAAAAGTCTCTTTCAAAATATGAAGGCCAATACTTTATTGGCCAAGAAGAATGGCCTAAAGTTGTCCATATGTGACACTAACCATAGGGAAAATGTGTATCATTGACACAATATTATTTTATAAACACAAATAGGTATGATTTACATTTTTATTTTTTATCTTTATTTTTATTCAATAAAACTCACATTTTTTTGTGTTTATAAAATGACATAACTTGTGTCATTTAAAATTTTTTTGTAAAAAAATTTAAATTAACGCTTGAACCCACTCGTAATTTAGTTGCTTCCATAACAAAGGATGAATAAATCATGGAAATGGGTACGTGACGGGAGAGGAGAAATAATAAGTTTTCTCCCTAATTAATTTGTGTTGCTACGTTATTTTAATCATCTCCGTACGTTGCTACGTTGCTAACTAATATAAGAATAAATATCTTTTTGACCCCTTACAAAAAATTCGGTCCCTACTTTAGTTTATTATAAAAAAATAGTCACTTGGTCCCTAAGTGGACCCATTTAGTCTTTTTGAGGGATTAATGTAGGTCTTTTTTGAATTTGTGAGGAACCATAATTTTAACTAAATTGATCCACTTTGAATTTCTTAGGGACCTACCAGAGACTAATTTTTGGTAAGGGACTAAAGTGGGAACCATGTTTTTTTTAGGGACTAAAGTGGGGACCATGTTTTTTGTTAGAGACTTAAAATGATATTTACTCCTAATATAAATATTGAACCAAGAGACAAATAAAGACCTACATGGCTACAAAAAAAAAATCCAAAATGTTATGTCCGTACTTGCGGACATATACGCTCACCTGGGTCCGCCAGTGTGTATATATATATAGACACACACACGATTAGTATAGTGAAGTCATTTTCATCACTTATATGAAACTTTTATTTATAATCTATGGAGAATGATCTGTTTATAATTTTTAGTGTAGTTTGTATGAGTTTATAAACAAAAAATTTATAAATATAACCTTCCCCATAATCTATTATCGAATTTATAATTGGGCTATTCTTGGTTGATATCTTGGACTTAACAAAAGCGTGCTAACTTCGCTACAATTATTATTATTATTTTTATATCAATCCTAATTATTTATTTGAAGTGAATTGCTTCTGTATTCTCACAAACTTTTATTTTTTGAATAAGTTATGTAATTAATTCCGAATCAGAAATTAGTTATAATTAATGTTTCTCGTTCCTTTCCAAAAATATATTAATGAGAATCAAAATGAGATTATCGGCCTATTCTAAACATATGTTGCCAACTAGGGGTGTTAACGGGTCGAGCCGAGCCGAGCTGAGCTTTGGTCTTAAAAGGCAGCCTGTGTTTAAATGTGTCAGCCTGACCAAGCCTGTTACCTGTTATGAATATAATTTCAGCCTATGGCCTGTCTTATTTACAAAAAATAAAAGTCTGGTTTAGTCTGTTATCCCGTTTAAAACAAAATAAGACAACAAAAATTTATCCAAACAAAATATACAGTCAACAACACTAGTAATTTCATAAATATTCATAAATTTTATGTATATTCAAACAGTATAATATAAAATAAAATCATTCAAAAAGTCTGTTTAATTAATAAAATGAGATGAAATGGATTGAGAAGAGAGAGAGCTATCACAAGTAGTATAAAAAATATAAAATAAAAACAAAAATTAATATATTAGGCCAGTCTGAGAGGCTTTAAGAGCTTTTAAATTAGAGCCTGAGGCCTTTTTATTAAACGAGCTTTTATACAAGTTAAAGCCTTGTTCTAACAATTAATTTTAGATATAAAAACTCAAACCTTCACGAGCCGAGCCAAAAGCACCGGACTCATTTACGCCAACTCCGTTTGATGCAATTATTTGGTAAGTCTTTGCTCGCTAACGACATTGCCAATATTCTGATTGATTCCACGCTGTAGATATTTTCTAGACATGTCTTCGCTTTGGTATTAATTTTCAAAAGTTAATTATTAGTTTTGGATGCAATATTCTTTTTGTGGATGCATTCAATAGTTAATTATTAAATAGTATGATACTATGAACATCGGACTAAGGAAGCCCAACAACAAGGGCAAATGGATGAGTACAAGCCAAAATAAATCTCAATTAAATTATTATTCTATGCACAATCTTTTTGTTCTTTTTTCTTTTTTCTTTGGATTTTTTATTATTTCAAAAAAATATTTCTGCAGTTATTGCGGATAAGTTATTTGTATTTAGTTATTTACTCCTAAAATGACGTCATTTTGCGATTGAAAGATTAAAAAATTATAATTATAAAAACTATAATATCTCTGAAATAAATTAAAATTACAAAAATACCATGATTTCTGTCCCAAAATAACGTTGTATTAGACTTACTGCAGATAATTTATCTGTAATAACTGCAGAAAAATCGAACCCTTATTATTTTCAAGTTTTATGCAAGACATGACATATGACTATGAGTCATTATAAGGAAAAAGTTTAATGTATTGCGTACATTTTTTATTCAGTTTTAAAAATAAGTTTAACTGGTTTGCTTTTGGCTGTTATGATTGTTTTTAGAGTTTAGATATTAGTTCTTAGATTTTAGCTGTTTGAAATTTATATCTCATTCTCTAAAATTTAATTACATGAATAATTTTGTATTTAAAAAATATGAATTAGTACCCTTGTAAGTATATTTCATAAGAATTAAAATGTAAATCGGTAAAAGATGTTGAAATTGATGTCCTAATTATAAAAAAGAAAACCCGAATGAATAAAAATATAAAATTGGTATCTAAATATACCACAGGGATCACAATTCAAATGAGTGAAAACTGCAATGATAAAAATATTATTATAATCATTTTATTGTGTATAATTATTTCTAAATAGGATGATATGATATGATATTTAAGATAATTTAATTCCTTTTGGTATCAGTTACCTTATGTGACATTATTAGGTTTTCTAATATTTGTATACTATTTTTATTAAAAAATTAGTATAAGAATATAAATCCCTATTGGTATTTGTTCGACAATTTGAGATTAATATGTTGCGGATTAATAAGTTTTTTTAGGTACCTATGAAGGAGATACTTTAAAAATTAACAGATCACTGTATATAAAGAATAGAGACGTAACCAAAGCGTGGGGTATGTACTCAATGACAGATAAAAAATGAGAGTTTAAAAAATACGTACTGGTAGATTTAACCTCTTATTTATAAATTTTTTACACTTTTTACAAATATTGAGGGTTTAGTCATTAGTGCTTGATCCGCTAAGGATATTATGAGATTAATATCATTATGAAAATCATTTCTTAGTTGCCTCTTCGCTATCTATTAGGGGTGTTAATGAGCCGAGCCGAGCTTTGGTCTTAATGGGCTGAGTCTGTGTTCAAATGTGTCAGACTGACCTTAGCCTTTTACCTGTTACGAATATAATATCAGCCTGTGGTCTGGCTCATTTACAAAAAATAAAAGCCTGGTTTAACCTGTTAGCCTGTTCCAAAAAAATAAGAGAACAAAAATTTACCCAAACAAAATTTACAATCAACAGCACTAGTAATTCCATAAATATTCATAAATTTAATGTATATCCAAATAGCATAATATAAAATAAAATCATTCAAAAAGTCTGTTTAATTAATAAAAAGAGATGAAATGAATTGAGAAAAGAGAGTGCTATCACAAGTAGTATCAAAAACATAAAAAAATAAAAATAAAAAAAATATATTAGGCAAGCCTGAGAGGCTCTAAGGCCGAGCTTTTGAATTAGAGCCTGAGACTTTTTTATTAAACGAGCTTTTATACAAGTTCAAGCCTGGGTCCAACAATCAATTTTAGACATGTAAGCTCAGTCCTTCACGAGCTGAGCCAAAAGCCCCTGTCTCGTTTAGCATCCCTACTATCTACCCTTATTGGACTCTTCAGAGAATGAATCCATATATTGGACCTATCACCTATAACAGTATTTATTTTGATAATTTTTTTGAAAATCATAATTTGATATTCATAATTAAAGTAAAAGTAAGAGTTAATGATATATTGAAATATGAATAAATATCAATATAAAATTTTATATTAATAATACTTACTAATTAAATACATAAAAAAATTAATAGTTAAATGCATTAAAATTAAAAATATTTAAAAAAACATTATTAGTTAGCTTAAGGTTGACCAGACAAAGCACCATCGCACCAGTTTTGTTTATGTCTCATGTCTATATCCATGGGTATTACTCTGCCCAAAACTCTAATTCATAGAGAGAAACAATAATTTACTAATAAATCTTAATTTAAAAATTGAAAAACTGATTATTCATCGTATGCACAATTATTCATCGTATGAAATAAGCACTGGCATTAGCACTAAATACTGTTGTTGCCAATCTGACAGACAGTTGACACGTTATGATAATGTCACCAGCATTGGTACGTGGGAAGAGGCATTTTCATTTTTGTTTTACACTTGTCAATTCTTTCATCATTGTGATAATAAATCTGGGAACCTATTAAATCAAATTATTTAATATATAAGGACTAAACTTTTTATTTTATCATAATTCCATTAATAATTTTTTAAAAAAAATATTTATAATATTATAACAAGGAAAAAATTATACTTATCACTATTTTAATTTTATCAGTTTTACTACTTGTTACTGTTGAATCAATTTAAAATTAACGACAATTTATTTTTTCAACTATTGATTTCAAATAGATCAAACTGTAATCAAACAGATAGTAAGAATAATAAATTTGAAACCCCTTATAACAAAGTAATAAAAATTTTCAATTTATTAAAATATTAAATATTTTTAATATTTTTTATTTTAAGTAATTGAGAGAATGTAAAGAGAAAAGTATTATAATGATATAACATTATTACTCCATATCGGTGATTGCTGATTTTGGAGAAAATTTGAGAACATGAAAACCGAAGAAACTTATAATTTTGTTTACTGAATATAACAATTGAAATTTTCAGTTTTTTATCATATTATTTTTATATATTTAGTTTCGTACTCTTTTTATTTTATAAAATTTAATATTTTTTTTAATTACACTCTGATAGTTCTAATTGACTATTGTTATGTGAAAGGTGATCGTAATACTTTTCGTTTTTTTTTAATTGTACGTATTTGCAGTTACCAAACATAATTGTAGAGTCATGTTATGTTACGTTTTTTTATAATAATAAAAAAGTACATTTAAGATTATTAGATCAAATTTACTACGATGATGTAACACTTTTCCCTTTCATGAAACGAAAGGGACACGAGAGCAACAACTAACAAAAAAACAACACATGTTGTGGTACATGATTCTGATATAAAAATGCAAACAAAAACTAATTTGCTAATTATTGCACTCTATGCTTTTACATTTTTTGTAACTTGATTTGGAAGACGGCAAAGCTTTGGTTTGTCATTTAGGTTGAAGTGTGATCGGATGCATGTTGTAGAATGACAACCATGGAATTTTATTTATTTATTTTTTGAGCAGTCCATGCTAGGTTTAAGAAAAGCTTTATTACTAGACTAGTGTTTAATGTAGCACTGGATAGGTACATTAAAATGGGACGCAATTTAACATATAATATGTAATTTATACTTGGTACATCTTGTAGTTAAATATCGTTTATAATGATCAAACAGTCTTAGTTAAAGTGACACAAAAGTTTTTTAAAAAATTACTCAAATTTAAGATTTGGCCATAATAAATATAAAATAATGAAAATGAATACAAAATCTAATAATGATGTGAATAATATTTCAGTTCAAAAAATAATACGATAAATAGTTAATCACAAATCATATATGAGCCAAGGAGTCAAATTAATAATTTGTTAAACCTAATATCATTTTAGAGTTGGTTATAGTTTCTCTATAAAAATGGGCATATTTTTATAATAAAAAGTCAAAACGTTAAAAAAAAAAAAAAAAAAAAAAAAAACTCTACCAAGTACCAACAGTATTGAGAGGCATTACTTCTAGGCATCAACGGATTAAACTAATACTATTAAATTATTCATAAATGAGAACACTTCACATCACTTAGCTGACGAATTCAAAAGCTTAAAAATCAATCAAATCTTCGTGCACTTATTCATTTTCGTGAGAAAAGTTCGAGGAACTCAACTCTTTCAACTGGTCAAATCACTAATTTAACTCTAATACTTATCATATTGCTTCTTCTTTTTTCCTTTTAGTTACCTGGAATTGATTATCTTCTCATTGAAAATTATTTTGTATCATATAATAACTCAACGAATCTGTCTGTTTCGTTTGTTGTATCTTACTATTATGAAGAGTGTAAATTGCATTAAGGGCGACTAGTGACGAACTCGTATGGATAAGAACTAGGGAGAGGTTTTGTTATAGAATATAGTAAGTTGGCTCAACAACCATCATTCATGAACAAGGCCATTACTCATTAGATTATTTGTAATTAAGCATTAATTAATCTCGACAATCCTTTTTTATTTATTTATTTCTCTATCTCTGCAAATATTTTCTTCTTTTTTAGTTGCATACAATACTAATATTTACTCTGATTAACGTAGTCAAATAAGGAAACACTGATTCCCAAAAGCACAATTGAATAACCCATGCCAAATGAAGGAAATTTCCTTATATCAGTGCGTGCCTAACCGCCAAACGATGAGTCCGTTATAGCAGAATCCATGAAAGTTGCATCTATAAAATTAAAGAGAAGCGAACGTGGCGAGAAATTCCGTATGTATATATATATATATATATATATAGCCAGCGGTTTGAACTTTGGGTCCTCTGACACTGTCAAACGTGGGACTCATAACACAGTCGTGGGTATTCTCATAAAATAACAGGTAAATGTTGAACAAATATTTCTCATGTTTTTTCTTTTATAAATGAGAAAATAGCCATCCTATATAAAGCTTTGAAAATTCACATTTTTGATGGGTTGCTTGCTTTGGTTTCAGAGCTACGAGGTTGTTGTTGATGCGAAAAAGGATTGGAAATGTTGGGAGACTTCATTACTCGATGTCTTATGTAAGTATATACTTTTTCTTCTTGTTTCAATTTAGAATTCTTCTCCGCATGTTCGAGAGATTGTTACGTTATCTATCATTCTTCTATCATTTTTGATTTCAGACTGCTTCTGGGGTATGCATATCCTGGATTTGAATGCTATAAAACTGTGGAGAAAAACAGAGTTGACAATGAGGAACTTCGCTTCTGGTGCCAATACTGGTACAAGAATCCAACTTCCCCTTTTTTTGTTATAACTTATGTCACGGAAATTACTTAATAATTTTGAAGATATGGGGATAATGACAAGGATGAGAATAATATAGAAGAAATGGGTCCTTGAGATTTTGCCAAGAAAGTGAGTTTCTTTTGTAACATGCAAACGGAGGTCAATACCTTGAATTGAAAAGCAGAGCAAACAGAGAACCGAAGCATGTGCAACATGTTGAATTATCATATATAATTTTTAGATTTAAGATTTAGTACCTCTGATGCATGTCTTTGTGCATCATCAATTTGCAGGATCATTGTAGCACTTTTCACAGTACTCGAAAAGTTTGCAGATATACTTATTGGATGGTGAGTGCTTGATTTTTTAACCATTTGTTTATGGTTGAATTTTGATTAAGATTTGTGCAATAAATTAACGCCGAATCTTTATGAAGGTTTCCCCTTTATGGAGAGATGAAGCTTGCGCTCTTTATCTACTTGTGGTATCCCAAAACAAAGGTAAGAGCATACGAATATGGAGAATACCTCTTTGGCTCCTTTAACATACTATTTTTCTTAACCTTTTCTTTTCATTTACTAAAGAAGATGAAAATCATGTTTGATCTCCAATTAGATGATATAAATGTTGCTTAATGCAGGGGACGGGATATGTTTACGATACTGTGTTGCGGCCTTATGTATCAAGTCATGAAAGTGGCATTGACAAGAAGTTCCAAGAGTGGAGAGCTAGGGCGTGGGGTTTGGCCATCTTTTACTGGCAAAATTGCAGAGAGTTGGGGCAGTCTGCGTTTTTCCAGGTTCTCGATTTCTTGGCTGCCCAGTCTACAAGATTTTCCGGCAAAAACTCCACTAAGGTGATCTTCCCTTTTATATAGTAACATCCTAACTTGCAAATTGACTATTTAATCGTCGTTAATAAACAAAGTTTGAAGTTCCAACTTAAAAAGTCTACAGATGTAGTTTTCGAGATGTGTGGCATGGAGCTCTCTATGACCGAGTACCAACAATTAGCAGTAGTAAAGCACCCGTAATAGAGAGTAGTGTATTGTATTGATTAAAGACATAATCACAAGACCAACAATAAGGTTTTTTATTTCCTAGTAAAGGATACATTAGGAGGTATTTTCATTCAACCTTCTCCGGCTATCATGTTCTCGGGGTACGGCCCGTTTGGGCTAGCCCCTCATTATAACAGTGGGTGCACTAAGCTTCACAACAGGAGAAAGAACGAGACTAATCCCCTAACCGCAGGGTTTGATCCCTGCACCAAACAATCCCTTGGGAGCTCAACTGCGAACTTGAGCTACCTTGCGGGTTGTAAAGGATACATTTAACCATAAATAAATTAGACAAGATCACCGCAATTTATTGTTTGTCATTTTTTTATGCATTTATCTTTACTGCTAGTACTGTTAGTCTGTTATTGAGGATAGTACTACATCGCAGAAAAAATACAAGCAGGATCCAACCCCGAGTGCCCCACCATTGCCTTCAATACGATCATCTTTCTTTGAGAACAACCAAGATAATTTCACAGGCCTCAAGAAAAAGAAGCACCACATAGAGGAGGAGGAATGAGAGCCTGAACCAATCACCAGTCACCACAGAGGAAGGCCAATACGATGATGAAGCAAGTATGTTGTTTTGTGATTAAACAACGCGCAGAGCTAGGTCGAGAATTGTAACACTTATTTGTACATACTCACATAAGACCAATAGGGGGAAAAATATATGAAGAAATTAGCTCCATTGACCATTGTTAATACTTTTTGTTTGTAACATATATGTTGAAGAATAATGAAGATTGCTTTGTTTTTGTCCCCACCTCATTTGAAGCAATTTCAGTCATGTGATTAATTGATTGTTCTTTTATTTGTTCGTACTTTGAGTTTGAGGCCACAACAATTGAGAGGCAAATGCAAAGCTATACAAATTCTATACTAAAAAAAAAGAAGAAAATAAGAAACATAGCCCATTCTTCAATCTTCAATCTTCAATTCAATTGGATACAAAGGAAAGGACTTGCACGTGTAGCATCATGTCCATACTTGGCCCCAGAGAGCGTTGAGTATTTGACGGAAAGTTTGGGCGAAACCCGAAACTAGGTGGTGATAGAGGAAGCTGAAACAGGCGGCGGCGGCGGAGGAGAGTCTGTGCCAGAGGCGGTGGAGGAAGTGAGGGGCGGAAGAGCAGCTTGGTGAAGCGGACATGGGCTGAAGGTAAGCCCAAGCAGCTTGCTTAACGAGGTGGTTGCGGATGGAGATCTCGTAGCCGGAGTTGATGGCGGAGGCTGCGGGGGAAGTGGCGGCGTTGGGGGAAGGGAGCACGTCTCTGAGGGATATGTAGGAGGAGAATGGGGATTCGAGAGAGACCAGCTCCAAACTGTTGGTGCGTTGGGGTGGCGTTGCTGGTAGAGAGAGTTTGTTGGGCGACACCATGGATGTGGAGATGGAGTTGCGACGGCGGAGGAGGATCGGCGACTCTTGTGGTAGAAGGGTTGTGGCGGCTGTGGCGGAGCCGTTGGGAAAGTCAGACATGGCTGCGGGACTGGGAATGTGAGTGTTGCGAGAAACACGCGGTGGAAGAGATAGAATGGAACAAAAGTGAAGGAAATAAAACGCTATCTTAAGTACATCGAATAAATAAATAAATAATAATACATTATTTAAATAAAAACGCTCTAAATTATTGCAATCATTGTTTACGTTTTCTTGTCTCTGTATCTTTTAACAAAATCTGATTCTCATTTCCTACTTGAATTATTGAACCAATCCAATACATGGGCATTGTAATGCATCAGTGTTAGTAATTATTAGGGATGTTCATCAACCGATTCAAATCGCACTGATCGAATTAAAAAACCGAAAATTGAATAAACTGAAAATCAAAAAATCAAAAATAAAATAAAAATCGAAAATTTTAATTGGATTAGATCGGTTTTTGGATGGGTTCATGAAAACCGATACAATATATTAATTCCTCTATACCTACTTGGGTCTTTTCTCAATCAAAGCTCAAAAATTTATAAATCCAAGACTCATTAACCCATCAACTAAACCCAAGAAAAAATCTTGTCACATCTCATCAACAAAATTTTATCTTTGTAGAACTTCATATCTTATTGCCTGAAAAAAAAACTATATTATAGCTTACTAATGCTTTTATATTTCAAAAAAAATAAAATTTACAAAGCCAATATATATAAAAGATGTTATTTGCACAATAATCATGAAATTAATTTTAGAATTTTCAAAAAATCAAAAATCAATCCAATCCAAACCGAAAAAAATTGGATTGGATCGGATCGGATTTGAAAAAAAATCCAAACCGAATGAATGATTAGATGATCAAACCGAAGGGATTGGATCAGATGATTTTTGTTTCCAAAACCGATCCAATCTAGACCGCGAACACTCATAGTAATTATAAAGTATCAATATTTTTACATTTATGTGAACGATGAAAATATAAATTTAAAAAAATTTAAATTATAAGGAAAATTTATATAGTTAATGAATCAATTATATAGATATAATAATTAGTTTAAATAATACCTTAGAAATATATATTTAATAATTTATTTGAGAATTATGAATAAGTCATGAATAATTAATTTGAAATAAATTAAATTTAAAATATAAAAACACGTGTCAGTTTTTTTTAAAATTAACTAATAGATTCAGTCATTTTTGTATATTTTAGTCTAATACAAATTTAATCATTAGAGATTACGGAATACTTAGCAGGAAACGTGGTAGTAGCATGAGCGAAAACACGCAGAAAGTGGCTGTAGCATCCTATTTCAATATAAAATCTGAGGGGGGGAGGAAATCACTTTCTTATACGCAAAAAGACGAAAAATTAAAATATTGAAAAATTGATTGTGATTCTCCTCTTGCCTGCGGTCATTTTCTGTGCTTTTCGAAGGCCTAGTTTGTTACGGAACTATGCTACTTTATTGGGCCCTACGACTCCTAGCCACTATAATTCAAACCAATATATAGTTCACTGAAAATTAAAGAGAAGGATATTGGTCGGCCATGTAAAATGTAAATTATAAGTTGCTTTATTTTTATAGAGCATATATTTATAAAAAAATTATTTATAAAATTTTACAAATTATGTTATATATTTCGGGGAGCAATATTATCAAAATTGAGTTTTAATATAGAACTGAAAAGAAATGGTAAAAACAACAAGAAACGTAAAATTTTTATTATTTAAAATTAAGATATATATATATATATATATATGGGTAAATATTTCTACAACCACTTCAGATAAAATTATCTACAACAACTCCAAAAATGACGTCATTTTAATTAATGAAGGGTGTTTCTGTAATTCAAGGTGAATTAGTGAAGGGTGTTTCAGTAATTTTGTTTATTTTTTTATCATTTGCATTTTTCTGAAACACCTTTCATTAATTCACTTAAAATTACAGAAACAATCTTCATTAATCAAAGCGACGTAGTTTTTGTGGTAGCTATAGATAACCTTATCTAAAGTGACTGTAGAAATATTTTGTTTCATATATATATATATATATATGGTTCGCTTTTTCTGCAGTTACTGCAAGTAATTTATCTGCAGTAAGCTCAATACGACGTCATTTTGGGACGAAAATTGTAAGAACTCGCACCGTTAATTAAGGAATTTTAATTATGCAAAATTAGGAAATGATTTCATAATTGACCCTAATAATTATTATGAGGTTCTAATAATTATGATAAGTGATTAAGAATGCTGATAGTCGCTTTTCGGAAGAAAAGTGCAGATACCGATTCTGCTAGTCGGTATAAATGCGTACCAAAAAAGTATCCCGTAAAATTAAAGTAAGTGCATGATAATTACTAGAATGTTATGTGGGACTTGTAAAACGAGTTTCATGTCCAAATAATGAGAACTGGTGCCAGAAACTGGTACTGGCTATGAAAAGCGCGTACCGAAAAGGTGCTCAGAAAAATATAATAAAAATATGACAATTCTTGTAAAATCGAGTATGTTAAGAATCCAAAGTTTGGGATTAAAATGATAAGCGTAGCAATTAAAGCTTATACTGCATGTTTAAGTGTGAGTTGGCTATTTATACACTTGCTAAGGGCACATTGCCCTAGATACCAGATTTTTCTTTCGTGAGAGAGGCTGACCAGCTGCTTGAGCACTGTTCCATTGGTCTCCTTCACCTTCTCTTGAGCCAAGTTGGGACCTTTGGCATTGATCATTCTCTTTTCTTCTTATAAACACTTGGGAATCATCTTTGTGAGGGTGTGATGGTGCTTTGCTTGGGGTTTTAGTCACTATTTCTGGTCAGGGAGTGTGCTGAGTTGGGGTGTGGGTTGAGAGCCACCTTCTTCTTGGTTTGTGAAGCTTCAAGAAGCTACCTTTGTGAAGAAAGGAACCATCTTGTGCTAGCATTTTTGTGTTCTGTCCTAGTCAGAGGTTGGGGACTGTTGGTGAGCTCCAAGAGCCTATTGGTTATGAGTTTTGAGCCTTAGTATGTTGTACCCCCTTTGATCATGAGTTTTCTTGCTTAAAAATGGAACCTTGATGCATGTTAAGGCTAAAAGGTGATAACTTAACGTTGGGTAATGTCAAACACACCTAGAAATGCATGTTTATGTGTTTAAAATCGGTAAAAACCCAACCTTGGAAGGATATTTTCACGAAATGCAGTTTCTGCATTCTGTCGTGAAATATCTGAATATCTGCCCGAGAAATATCCGGATATGGGATTTGGATATCCGGATATGGGAATCTGTATATCCGGGTATTGCATATCCGGATATGGACAGTGAGATATCCAGATATTGCATATCCGGATATGCACCCGAGAAATATCCGGATATTCTGGAATTTCGTAGAACAGTAGTTGTGTTGTGAGGACAGTAGGCTATTGGGGGTTTGTGGATCCTAGATTGATGAAGTGGAACTTCTGTATTTAATGGACTAAGTCAGAATCATGTGATTAAGGGCTTGTGGTTTTGTTGGAAGCCTTAAGACATAAATCGTTAAAGGAGAACGTAGTCTTTATGTTAATGCTTTTGAGTTATGTATGTTGATACATTTGTTGGTCCTAAATCAGATTGTGATCTGCTGTGTGTTGGGCTTGAGCTGTGAGGACTCTTGGCATTAGATAGTGTGCTTGCAAGGTAAGCTTTCCTGTCCTCGGTTTAGCCATGTTGTGGTTCCACCATGTCCCATAGGGATATGGTTATATGCATGTTGTGTTACATGCTTTTGATGTTTTGGAAATGTTGTTGAGCTGTTATATGTTAGTGCCTTGTTGATATGCATGGAGGTGTTCCACCTATACGGTAAGCCTGAGTATGTAGAACATACAATATGGTGACGTTGTGGGTGAGGTGCAAGCGGTGTTCCTTGTACTACATGTAGGTATAGACGTATTCCTACATTTCTCTGGTCACTAGAATAGTGATAACACACATGCCATAGATATCTGTTGCACTGCATAGTTTTGGAACTTATACTGATATAAATGCTTTTAGAACTTATATTGCACATGTAAGTGAGCTTGGGGTGGGAGATCCTTGAGGACCCATTGTCTTACTGATATTTCTTGTTTAGAGATCTCACCCCACGTTTGGGGAATGCTTATTTCATGATCATGTAATGTTGAGACCTCAGGCGGCAGGAGACCGGAGCTGAGTTAGATTTGCTGTTATTTATGCTGACATGTTGGATGCTGGATTTGCATGCTGCTTATATGCTTATAGCTTTAGTTCATGTTTATGGAGTTTTATGTTAAGACTTGTTGTTTACGCTGTTTATTTGGTGAGCATGGGGATTGTGCATGACACATAATATTGTTTTGTCTTGAGTCTTTTGGGAGTTGTAATAATGTATCAGGATATTGTCCGGATTACGAGATGTAATGTCGTGATTTAGATACACACTTTATTTATATATTGAGGTATTTCAGTAGATGTTTTATTGCAATTTACATTCAGGCAATATTTTATGAAATTGACTAAGTAATCAAGTTGGTAATTGATAATGACGTCATAATTGAAAAGAAAAAGAATATTTCGCATTTTTAATTAAGCGTAGCTTAATACGATCTAATGATAACAATACCAGATATATACGGGGTGTTACAAAAATCATGGTGTTTTTGTAATTTTAATTTATTTCAGGGTTATAATATTCTTTATATTTATAATTTTTTAAGATTTCAATACCAAAACGACGTCATTTTGGGAATAAAGGCAGATAATTTATCTGCATTAACTGCAAAAATATTTTTCCTATATATATATATATATATATCATAAGTGATCGTCACCCAAAGTTCAATGAACAATTTCATATTTAAAAGATATAATCTATATAACTATATATTACATAAGTCCAAAAACATAAAAAAGAGTTTAACAACTCCTACAACCAAATTCTAAAACATCAAAAGAATAAAGTTTAATAACTTCTAAATTATATCAATTGATTCAAATCAAATACATGATTTTGCATCAGTTGCATGTCCTCAATGTCCTCTTCTCTTGCTCCTATAAGAAGTTCATTTGTAATAAAACGTAATAGATTTATTCAAAA